GTCCTCGCCCCGGCCCCCGGCCCTTCCCAGCAGGATGTCTGAATCTGCTTTAGCTGCATGACAGAGGGGCCAGAGCCCCCGTTAACCAGGAACATCTCCAGCCTCCAAATGGGGGTGAGCGGGGCGTGGGGAGCTCTGCCCCCCGCGCTCTGCCTCCTGCCCGGGGCTGTGAAAATAAATATCATTTTCTTAAAATTCTTAGATAATTTGTAAAAACAAAATCAGGCTGTCAGAGCAGACCATAAAGTCAGGTGAAGAAGAAACAGGATGAGCATTGCACAAGGGGGAAGGAAAGGAGACAAGAACCCCTCCCTCCTTCCCTAGGATAGAAATCCCAAATCACTGACACTTGCCAAGTCCACAAAAGATCTGGTTCAGCCCAGTTCCAAAAGTTTCAGTGAAACAAAGACATTTAAATCAGACCAATCAGAAGTCACTTATTAGAATATTAAAACCAGCCACCGATAACTACTGGGCAGGGGCTGGAGGGATATTTGGAGAGCCTAGCAACTTCAAGAGGACCTGCTGCCAATCTGCATGCCCCCCTCCTCCCACCCCTCGAGGCGCCTGATCCGGGGTAGGTGCAAATCTATGCAGTGGGGGGATGGGCAGACAGACAGACTTCGGCATAAATGTGTGTTCTCATGTTTTAAGGTGCAAGCAAATAGAAGTTGGGCTGCAGACCTGTTTCTGCCTCTTTTCTCAGTAGCCTACTCACGAGGTGCCCTGTAATCTGGGTAACAGAACTGGCGCCCGACTGGGACGCAGGCTGCTGTGGGGTATTACCGGTAGCACTGTATGTTTGCACTATTTCTTTGGCAAGTGAGGTATTTGCAGCTAGAGTTTTGCCCAACTGGTAAAAGTCAGTCGTCTGGCATAGGTAGCACTAACACCCTGCCTGATAACAAGGGAATGGGATCATCTCAAACAAGAGTTATCTGATATGGGGCATCAGGATGGAAACAGGGCACATTTGACACCCCAAAATCCTGGGAGACCCTCTGTGAAGAATGGAGTGAGTGGATCAGGGGGATTCAAAAGAGGATGGTGCTGGACTGTATCAGCGGGGGCAGGCGACAGGACAAAATGCAACCGGCTCAAGTCGCAGCAAGGGAAGTTTAGGTTCAATATCAGGGAGAATTTACTCACAAGGAGGGTAGTAAAACATGGGAACAGGCTACCCAGAGAGGTGGTGCAATCTCTATCCTTAGAGGTTTTCAAGACCCAGGCAGACAAAACTTTGACTGAGATGATGTAGTTGTGACTGGTCCTGCTTTGAGCAGGGGTTTGGACTAGATGTGACCTCCTGCGGTCTCTTCCAACCTTAACTTTCTCAGGCCTTATGATTTAAAAGAATTTAAAATATGGGAAGCGCAGGAAGAAGGCAGCTCTCCTTGAAGGACTGCACATGGTTGCAAAGGGGACACCTGAGAAGGTACAAACCTGGGAGGAGGAGTATCGAGATGTTACAGCACAGGGAAAAGCCCCAGAGGATGTAGGTAAGCAATTAGGGGCAGAGGTTTTACACCTGGACGGCCGGGCTTGAACGCACGGCGTTCGTCTCCCAGCTGCTGACCGACAAGTCAGCTCCGGCAGTCAGAGGCAGCTCAATGAAGTGCCAAGCTGGAAAACATACAGTCCCACCTGCAAGACAGTGAGGGCTGCTCGGACCGCTCTCGGGGCAGCGGGACAAGCCCCAGACGAGC